TTATGAAAGGTTTTTGTCTAACATGAGGTAGCTCGTATACTCCTTCAACAATTTCTTTCCCCCAAGCGTTGAAAGACGAGTGGTCAACACATGGTCGATTATGACGGGCAAGCTCCGGAAAACAGGGAAGGTCTTCAAAAATGACAAGGATTTGAAGAAAGAGTGGATGAAAGTGTGTAAGAAAGATGGCGCAAGTGTTGCACAGGACTTCTCCAAGGTGCAGGCATTTAGCCTTGAAGAGGATGTTGAATAAACCAACTTTGTAGAAAACATAGCTAATATGTGTTTATTTATTTTCTGAGAGTTTCAAAAATATCCGACTTAAAATGAATTTTTGGTGATATTTTTTTTGGAGTAAAGGGTGATACGGTCAAAATTTTGTCAATATCAACTTGACGTATTTCTTTCAATTTTGCATTTAAAAAACCTGAACACCCCTCATTTTGAAGGTGTGTGTGTGTAGAATGTTGCTCCTATTTTGATTTTGGAATTCACTCTTCAGTTGTCAAAATGCCGTCCAAGCAAGAAGAGCAGCGTATCAAAATTTTGCTCGCGCATCGCGAAAATCCGAGCTACTCGCACGCAAAGTTGGCAAAATCGCTAAAAGTTGCCAAATCAACCGTTACAAATGTAATTAAAGTGTTTGGGGAACGTTTGTCGACAGCCAGGAAGTCTGGATCGGGGGGAAATCGAAAACCGGAAGCCGCTGAGACGACAAAGAGAGTTGCCGGTAGTTTCAAGCGAAACCCTAACCTCTCTCTCCGAGATGCCGCAAATAAGCTGGGTGTATCGTCTACAACCGTGCATCGAGCCAAAAAACGAGCCGGACTATCGACTTACAAGAAGGTAGTGACTCCAAATCGCGATGCTAAACAAAATACGACGGCCAAAGCGCGATCCCGGAGGCTGTACACGACGATGCTGACGAAGTTTGACTGCGTGGTAATGGACGACGAAACCTACGTCAAAGCCGACTACAAGCAGCTTCCGGGACAGGAGTTTTATACGGCAAAAGGAAGGGGAAAGGTAGCAGATGTTTTCAAGCACATGAAACTGTCAAAGTTCGCAAAGAAATATCTGGTTTGGCAAGCCATCTGTACCTGTGGCTTGAAAAGCAGCATTTTCATAGCTTCCGGGACTGTCAACCAAGAAATTTACGTGAAAGAGTGTTTGAATAAACGTCTGCTGCCTTTCCTGAAGAAACACGGTTGTTCCGTACTGTTTTGGCCGGATTTGGCATCTTGCCATTACGGTAAAAAGGCCATGGAGTGGTACGCCGCCAACAACGTGCAGGTGGTTCCCAAGGACAAGAACCCTCCCAACACGCCAGAGCTCCGCCCAATTGAGAAATACTGGGCTATTGTCAAGCGGAACCTAAAGAAGACCAAAAAAACTGCTAAGGGCGAGCAGCAGTTCAAGGCAAACTGGCTTTCTGCGGCGAAGAAGGTGGACAAGGTGGCTGTACAAAATCTGATGGCAGGGGTCAAGCGTAAGGCCTGGCAATTCGGATTTGGAAAAGCGGAAGCCTAACTGAATATTTTTCCTGAATTTTATACTAATTGAACTTGAAAAAGAAATTTTATTTGATTTTTTAAATAAACGATTTCACCGATTTACACGCGTTTTCCCTTGACCAAATTTTGACCGTATCACCCTTTACAGTCTTTGTATTTGAGATATTAGGGTGGGTCAAGCTTATAGGGTGGTTCTCAACCCCTTGATCCCGACTGTTTTTTTCGGTGTGTATTGAGGTCAACTACAACTACAACTACAAATTTGAACGATTTTGGTTGAGATCTGGAACTACTGGACAACTTAAAAATTTGTGTGAGAAAATGTATGAGAATTGAAAAAAAACTGTTCATTTGTTTGCCAAAATTTCTAAATTTGGTGAATGTTTAGTTCCCTTAGCCGAAAAATATGAACGAATTTTAGCAAAAAAGTGAACGATTGCCCATAGCACACCATTATGCAAAGTTTGTGCATGCAAATTAGAGAATATCGCCACGTTTTTCTCAGTTGTGCTGATGAGTGGCAGCAACAACTTCATGAGACTTCATGAGACTTCAGAACACTTCACGTCAGTTCAAAGATTTTTAGGAACATTCAGCGAGCTTCAAGAAAGTCCTAAGAAAATTGTGGACACGGAAGGGAGGTTCCGAATGCTTCAAAATCATTTTGAGAATTTAAGATCCGTTCGATTAAGTTCAGTAAAATTATAAGAACCTTACAGATGTTCCAAGAACACAGTTCAGAAAGCTTAAACGAAGTTACAAGTTCCATGAGCGTAAGAATTTATAGATAATTTTTAAAAACTTTTTGTTCAAAAAATTCGGGAAATTTCAAGAATTTTATAAGTGAACGAAAGTAGTTCTTTTTTATTCACGGGGATGTTCTGAGTATTCCAAGGTAGATCAGAGAACTTCAGAGCAGTTCCGTTAATAAATTGCTTTCAGAAGTTCCAAAGAAATTATGACTCGTTTCAAGAATTTCAGGAATATTCCAAACATTTCTGGAAATTTGCAGGGTCTTCAGGGATGTTCGATGAATGTCAGGGAAAATTTTAGGAACATAAAAGAAGTTCCGAGAACTTCTTGAAAATTTAGGGAACCTCAGGTAAGTTTAGAGATTTTAAAGGAAGTTCCGGAGTTCAAGGAAGTATCGAAAACCGAAGGAACTTTGGAACAGCAGTTTATAGGAAAATTTCACACAGCACATTGATTACACCATTCGTGCGGCACGCGAATCGCTCTTTAGGCCTGGAAGGGCAGAGCAAATTACGAACTACGTTCGGAATTGTGACGTTCAGCGCCAGTTAAGCAAGAGCGCCGATGAGTACACATCAGCTTCCTGATTTTCCATTTCAACGCTTGAACATTGACCTCGGTGAAGTCAAGAGGGATTGAGAAAACGTATGGCTGACAGCTTTTTCGATTTTATTGAGGTAGATTTTCTGAACGATACACGCTAACTTGAACGTACCCATTAAATCAGTATATTCTACTCACTTTTTGAACTGAATCTAAAATGTTAAAAAATAAGTATTTACAAAAATCTAAAATCGGATACTTCGGATCCCTATTTTTGAAAATATCTTCGGCAATTTAAAATGGTTGAAAAAGTATGAGGTTGTATCCAAGACACGACCTTAGATTTGACATAGGTTTACGTACTCGGTATCAATCTTCGGCGACTGTGTCAGGGAAACCACTTTTTTTGCAGGCAATCGGTAATAATTTTGATCACCATTGCAATAGTTGGACATTTGTGTAATTTTCAATAGTGATCTATTAAAAATTGATAAAGTGTTCATTTGAGCAGATTTGTAGAAAAAATTCCAATCGATTGGCTTGTTTAGAATTAAAATCCATTCGCTTTTGACATAGTTATAAATGATCAAAAGCTAACCAATTTTCGTAACGCGGCCGATTTTGTTTTTTTTAAATTGCACCCCCAATATGTTGCCGAAAGACGTAATCCTACGTCAAAATATTCATTAATAATTCAATGCAAAACGTGACGCCATGTTTGAGCTGCATCGAAGTAAACAGTGCTAATTTCGGATAACTAGAGCATGGAACAAATCTTTTCGGTGTGGTATTGGGAAAATGGATGACCCAAGATACTCCGAAAGGATTCGAAAAACTGGAAGGCAAGGATTTTTCCCGTTCTATTGAAGACTTCATTCAGCTTATGTCATTTACCGTTTAAACGCTCACATCCTATAATTTATTACCGCAAGAAACCTGTCCTGGATGATGGCCCTTTACCAGCTACCGGTGCGATGGACGTAAAGCGGGTGCAGGAGGAGGATACGCATGGGCGCATGTTGACAAAAGAAGACCTTATGTAAACTTGAATCAGCTGTCTTGAAGTTGTGTTGTGATTTGGGTAGATCGCTAGAAGAATAACATATTATTTTTTTCCTTGATTTGTTTTCCATCGATCTTGTTTTCCATGCTGAGTACCAATGCTACTGACGCCAGGGAGGCAGCTCCCACACCTGGACCCTACCTATCTCATGAACCGGAGACCAACGACTTTACTTCCCTTCCGAAGGAAGTCGTGATCAGAGATGTTATGCCTCAGAACATCCCGGCGGCGCCGACTGGAATTGAACCCAGCCCTGCTGGGGTGAGAGATAATCACGCTTACCACTACACCACCGGCGCCGCTAACATATTGTCATGTTTTTTTTTTAATTGTTAAATAGCCAAGACTTAGTGTTTAAAGATTTTATTTTAAAAACTCCAATAAATGATTTTAAAATGAACTTCGAAATATCTTCGATGATAAGGGCCCCATGAAGCAAAATTGTCGATAAAATGGATACTTTTTACTCGTGTACAGAAAAAACATTAATGGTTAAAATACCATTTTTTTTAAGTATTCGGCGAATACTCATTAAAGAGTTAAGTCAGTTTTACTCATGTCATGAGTTAAGCCACTTTTCTTCAAAATGGTTAACATTTTACTCATTAATGGGTTACTTTCAAGTTAGCGTGTACTACAACACAAACGATTATTCAAGTATGTAAGTTTCTATTGAAAGCTGGCATATGTTTAGAACTCCAGTTTCAGTAACTCCAGCTTTTGACAGCTTCGAGACTTTACGAAAGTTTTTGGAGCTACCGGTGCTTCTGAGAGCTTCTCACCCAAACCACTTCCAAATCACAAGTTGTATCGTGCCATGGCAGTCACACTTGTATAGTTTGTGGATGTGCTGATAATTTAGAATACAAATAAAGCTCATGCTCATACTTATATAGGTTGTCATACAAATGTTACCAACGCAGAACTATTTGATTTGCTTGTCTTTTAACACTGAAACCACACTGATAACACTAATCGGTATCACCAATTCAGCCTCAGCATATACTTTTGAACACCAAGCTTCAATCTAACTAATTCGACATGGCATGGCTTTCGACGAAATGGCTCATTCCCTAACAGTTTACCGCTCTTCTAGATTGGATTGAAAAATTGAATGCCAAACTAACCTGATGTTGCAACAATAACATGCTGGTGTTGCTTCCACTGCTGTTGCTACTGGCAGTGTTGCCAGCGACCTTCCGCAAGCAACCGCTGGAACTCGAATGTGATAGCGCTGTCGAACCGAGCGTGGACCGAGGACCACTAAGTTGCAGGCTCTTATCCGCTGGTGTCGCCGCAGTCCCAGTTGTCACAGTCGTAGTTGGTGTCGTCGCGGGTGGCGGCGTAGTCGGCACCGTCGACGAAGGAACAGCCCTCGGTGAAGTTACAACTTGCGATAGAAGTTGTGGAGCACCTGCAAGAGACCAAGGTTGCAACTCAAAATTAGTCACATTCGGCGGACCGGTTTCTGTTTATGAGATGCGAAACGATGAATATAATGTACCATAATATATCATGATTCACTAGGCCTATGCTGTGATTAGCTGTTTTTGATGGATTTCTTTGTCAAATCACTTTAGGCTTGGAATTCTCATCCGAGAAGGATCAATCTACATAGTTTAGCATAACTTTGATCCCGGCTTTGATAGCGAATCACTGAATTGTCCATACTTTTCGATCGAATTTCGAATTTCCATCCGGGGCTCACCTCCAATTTATACTCAATAAATCTTGCGCGCGTAACAATCGGAAGACCACACCACCGACCGGCTATACTCTGAATGTGAAATGTGATATTAATATTTTAATGCTCTATAATCAACATTCAGGCACAGACTATCGTTGTCGTCATCGTCGTCGTCGTCGTCGCCGAGGATTGTCCGAAATTTAAATAAAACCATCGTTGTCACTTGGATCAGGTCGCAGCTCAAATGATTCGGATTATTCGATGGGAGTGGTTTCGTCGACGGTGGTTCTTCCATCTTTGTCGCGCGTAGTTTTCGCTATCATTTATATTAACCATTGTATAGATATTTACATAACAACGCCAAATCGGTGCCAGGCAGTGAATTTCGTCCGATGCAGGTGAAGTGCTAAGCCGACACCGAATTTTAATTTTCGGAAAAGGGGAGGGATTAGGTGTTGCATGTTTGTCAATTTTCACGCTCATGCTGTCGACTGATACGCTTTATGTGAAATGTTTTGATAAATGGGTCTGGTGATTGCTATCGGTGCAGATACGGTCGGAAGGATGCGAGCGTCCCTTGGGGAGAGACCATAAAAATCAGTGATATTTAGCAAGATGTTCATTACGAGCGGTTATGATTCGTAGCGAAACGCTAAGGCAGTAGTGAAGCGAGGTTGTTGTTTTCTTTGTGTGACGAGGGTTTGTTTGCAAATTACTATTCTTCTATAGTGTCATTTATTCGAGTTGATATTCATCGCAATTAAAGCGAATCAAAACAGTTTGCAATTACTGAAAACGCTCACGCTCCATTTTCAATTATTCGGATTAATTCCTTCCCATAAAAACAACCATCAGTCACTACCAGCAGCAGTCGATCTAAATCACGACCAAACGATTCAAGAGTAACCCTTGCGGGTCTTCGTAGTCTGGTGCCTACAACTGAGGCGCGTGTGAGCACCTGGGCAAATATGTTGCTCAAAATCAACTCACGACGTGCAGAGCAAAGTTAGCCAAGGAGCGTAGGAACTGAACCTAATTTCGATAAATTTAATTTCTTTAAACGTTTTCCCTCCTAACGCTCGCGTGGCCCTTTCGCGGTGAACCTACAATTTGCATCGACAACCATCGTCGTCGTCGTTTGAAGATCGGTCTGTGGTCAATCTGGAAGACGAAGGAACCATCCCTCCGCTGACCTGTTATGCTATGCTTTCGTCCGACCGACGACTCCGCTCTGGGACGGAAAGCATGAGAAATACAGGTAGCTCTCGACTCGATGACCAGTTTTGGAGCTTATGTTGCGCTGGCAGCTCTATGCTACCGGTGTTGCGGTGTTGATGCTGCCGGTGATGAGGATGACGAAGGCGAATTAAATCTTGGCAGCCCTCCCTATAATTATCTATAATTCGTTTATCTTATTAAAAGCGAGATTTATAATAGCGTGCTCATCAGCATTCAGGCTAGTGCGGGAGCTGCGGCGATCGGAAATTAAATAATTTAAGACTGCACTGCGATGTGTGTTTATCTGTTTGGAGGCGGGTGGCCTTTTAAGGAGAAATTTTTTCGTTTTCGGAAAGAATGCGCTTCTTTTTTTTTCTACGTTTGGGAATTGGAATCATCAATTAGCATCGGGATGATTGCAGGGTTGCATACGTGGCGTTGGATTCACATAACTTTCCTCCCAAGGGACGGACGGTGGGAAATGGATCCTTGGCGGGCTGATCCGGGTTAGTTGAATTTGCAAATTCGAAAGCGGCAAGCTGAAAAATGGACTAAGATCTAAGATTATGACATCACTGAGATATCAGAGTGGGACTAGAGACGTTTTGGTTGGTAGAGACTTTGACCGTTGTGCCGCCCCTTATCCGCAATACTCTGGTTGGGAACTATTGCCCTACTACGACACAATTGCAAGGAAAATCCAATAGAAGTTCGTCGTGTGTGAACACCCAGTTTTGTGGCTGAGAAAGCAGTCCAAGCCACATTGCAAGTTTTATCGAGGTTTTATAGCATTCTACAAGTTTAAATAATGCTCTACAGAACCCTTAAAAAAATTACAACAGATGTTTTTGTTTCTTTTTAGCCCTATCACTTGATACATACACTACCAGTCATAAGTATGGAATCACTCAGAGAAGTATTGCAACACTCATTTGAATATTGCATCACCTTGAAAAGTTTACCATCAGCAAAAACAGATACATTTATGATCTCGAAATCCTGATTATTTGCAAAGGTGATGTCTTCAGCAAAGTTGTTCAGAAGGCCTAGGGTGTCCAGAGATGAGACAGTTTGGCTCGGCATTCTGTCGCTACGTGGCACTAGTGTGCATGAAAAATTTAGCATCTTTGGATTTGTTTAATCTCGTGATCCCGACCATCTAGGACGTTTGAGGCTTCACCAAAATAGAACAGAAGCCCAAGGTCATTGTTTCGAAATTCTTTCACTACATGGCGCTAACGTGCCTGTATAAGTGATTCAGAAGTATCTGAAATTATTACAAACTTTTTCGGAAGTGATTCAGTACTTTCCGAAGTGATTCAATACTTGCGGAAGTGATTTCAAACTTTGATTAATTGAATCAGTACTTTCCGGAGCAGTTTCGAACTTAACCGAAGCGATTCACTACTTTCTGAAGCGATTCTAACGATTGCTGAAATTATTCAGCTCTATCTGAAGTGATTCCAAACTTTTCTTAAATTATTCAATTCTTTCCGAAATGATTCCTTACTTGTGGAAGTGATAACCACATTTTTTGGAATTATGCAATACATTCCAAATTGATTCAAATTTTTTTTAAAGCGATCCTGTGCCTTCCGAATTGATTCCGAACCTTTCTGAAGTGATTCAGTACTTTCTGAAGGGATTGCAAACTTGTATGAAGCGATTCAGTACTTTTCGAAGTGTTTCAAATAGTTTCTGAAGAGATTCAGGACTTTCTGAAATAATTCCAAACTTTTCTGAAATGATTCAGTACTTGCAGAAGTGATTTCATACTTTTATGAATTGATTAAGTACTTTTAGGAGTAATTCCGAACTTTTCTGAAGTGATACCGAAATCCTATTAAAAGATTAAGTTCTTTTCAAAGGTGTGCTGTACTTGCGCAAGTGATAACAAACTTTTTTGGAGTGATCTAATACTTTCCAAAGTGATTCCAAAATTTCTAAAGCAATTCAGTCCTTTCCGAAGTGATTCCAAACTTTTCTGATATGTTGCAGTGCTTGCGGAAGTGATTTCAAACTTTTATTAATTGAATCAGTACTTTGCGGAGCAGTTCCGATCTTAGCTGAAGTTATTCAGTACTGTACAGTACAGTACACTTCAGATGATTTCAAACTTTTCTTAAATCATTCAGTTCTGTCCGAAATGATTCCGTACTTTCGGAAATGAAAACAAAATGTTTTGGAATGTTTAAATGCTTTCCAAAAACGTTCCAAAATTTCTAAAGCAATTCAGTGCTTTGCTATTTTTTAAGTAATTCAGTACGTTCTGAAGTGATTTCAATTTTGTTTGAAGCGATTCAGTAATTTTTGAAGTGTTTCAGATTGTTACTGAAGATATTTAGGACGTTTTGAAATGATTCCAAGCTTTTATAATATGTTGTCGATTCGAGAGATTGCCGGAAAAGTCGTAATATTAGGCCTAAGTTTCACTAGGCAGTAGCTGCACTCACCATCAAGCACAAAAAGAACAAGTCTTTCAATAGACCACAATAACTTGTAGGGAAAACGGATCAGGAAAACTCACGAGCTAACTTTAATTCTGGACACTAGTTATTTAGTACTTTCCTAAGTATTTTCGAACTCTTCTTAAATGATTCAGTTCTTTCCGAAGGCATGCAGTACTTTTCTGGAGTTATTCAGTATATTCAAAAATGATTCTGAACACTTCTTAAGTGATTTAGTACTTTCTGAACTGTTTTCGATTTTTCTGATGATTCCGAACTTTTCAGAAAGTGATTCCGAACTTTCCGAGGTGATTCAGTACTTGCGAAAGTGGTTTCCAAATTTTTGTAATTGAATCACTTCTTTTCGGAGCAGTTTCGAACTATGCTGAGGTGATTCAGTATTTTCCTAAGCGACTCTGAACTTTGTTGAAATTATTCAGTAGTATCGTGCAGTGATTCCAATCTTTCCTTGAATGGTTCAGTTTTGTCCGAAATGATTCCGTACTTGCGAAAGTGATAACACATTTTTTCAATGTTTCAATGCTTTCCAAAGTGATTCCAAAATTTCTGTACTTTCCGAAGTGATTCCGAACTTTCCTGAAGTGATTTAGATCTTCCTGAAGTGATTCCAAACTTTTCTTAAGTGTTTAATTTCTATTCGAAGTGAATCAATACTTGCGGAAGTGATTTCAAATTCTTCTGAAGTAATTCCAATTTTTTCCGAAGTGTTTCAGTACTTTCCGAAGTGACTCTGATAATTTCTAAAGAGATTCAGTACTTTCAGAAAGGGTTCTAAAATTTGCTGACTCGATTCAACAATTTCCGACGAGATTCAAAACTCTTCTGAAGTGAATCATTGTTTTCCGAATTGATTGAAAACATTTCTAAAGTGATTCAGTAGTTTATTAAGTGATTTCGAACTTTTCTGAAGTAAGCCAGTAATTTCCTGGAGTTATTCAGCATTTTCTAAAATGATCCTGAACACTTCTGAAGTGATTCAGAACTTTCCTGAAGTTATTCAATACTTTCCAAAGTGGTTTTGAACTTTATTGAATTGGGCCA